TTAATTTTTGGTACACAAATTCAATAAACCCCAGAAAATATGAAACAAATTGTACAACTGCTGCACAAATATCAATTCCCAGCACGATCACTGAGTACCAACAAGGTATTTACTCTTATCACTGCGAGCAGGAACGAGCTTTCACTCCACACTCTAATGATTTCCTTGGAACACACAGTCAGGTCCCAGGCAAGATTTCCCAGGAAAGCCCCCGTGGAAGTGATGCTGCTCTGATGTGTCACCGGGGGAATTGTGACTCAATTTAAAGACTCGGTGATGGCCACATTCAGTCTGTTTTGAAGTCGGTGATGCTCCACAACTGCAGCGGGACTCTGAAAGACTCACTCAGCAGCTCCATCAAATAACAACTATTCTCATTCAACCTTTCCTCCAAAGCTGCACTGAGAAAGACCTGGATATTGTTCATAACATCCACCACAGGGAGCTTTGACAACTCACTGAAATCCCCCCCAAAAAAAGAATGGTAAAGGTTCTGTGCCATAAGTGAAGCACAGGCACCAGCAACCCTGAGTTTTAAACATTTAAACGTCCCAGAAAACATCACCAGGTCATACTGAGCTCAAACCACCACCTACTACTGTGTCTCCTGAGTGCACAAATACCACACACTTACTGCAGATATTAGAGCATCTGGGGAGCACATGAGAAAGGAGATCTGCTGCATCATCCAAGCTTAGACTCTCAGAAAAGTGTACTTAGAAAAGCTCAGCTCCAGGAAACAAATTATATTTATTCAGATAAGGACATACAAGGCTTTTGTATTTAAGGAAACGCTGTGGTCACTCTAAAACAAAATGCTTGAAACAAAAAGTATTTTGACCTGATTTCTGAATCTACACTTAAGAGTTTTAAATATTCCCTCAGAAAAAATATAACTTTCTGGGAACAAAGTTTGCAAATGAAAGCAAGTCATTTTACACAAAGCATTGCAGATCACCTCATTCAAACTAAATCAGTACTTCAAGGTTTTATAGTCTATCTTCTGATTTTATAAGCCATATTTATCATTTCTCTATGTGTTTGGGTTTTTTTAAATCCCAGAACCAAAAAGCATTCTGAAAGAGGCTGTTGCTTCCAATTCAGAGGAAGGAAAAACCAGGCATGAGAGTATCAACCCTATTTTGGAAGCTGAAAATGGGACATGCATTACATCACTGCTCCAGTAAAAACACGTTCATTAGAGAACCAGGAACAACTTGCAAGTCTCCCCAGCCTGTTTTCCTAATGACCAGAGTTCAGGCTGGATTCTGCACAGCTCTTGGCTTTGCTTTAGTTTCTAGCTGCAGCCCATGACCATTTTCTAAACATCAGGACATTTCCATTTATTCAGGGCAACACTTAAATACCCTAATCCACGAATTTTCCACCTATTAGGTGAAACAAAGGTTGTCAATTAAAAAAAATTAAGTTCACGCTAAGATTAAAATATGTATTTGATAGTGCATCTTGTTTCTCTCTACAGGCACTTCGCTGCAAAGACATTTTCAGTTACTCAAGGCTGCCTGAATAAGAACAGAGAAAAAAAAATGGGCAGTGATTTTCTGAGCACTGAGATCTACTACCTATTGTCCAGTAAGAAAAAAGCCTTTGCTTGCTGCCACATAACCAAATACACTGTTATAACTTGGAGAGGTTTATGGAGGTAACCAAGAAAACGAGCCAAGAAATCACCAACACAACACAAACCCAAGAGTTTATTAATTAAACAGCAACTAGTCAAGAGAAGTCAACAGAAAATAACAGGTCTCTAACAACTGCAAATATACAGAAACACCATTCCAATCTTCAGATACAAGTGCACTTTAATTCTACTTGCAAATAGAGTAAAACCCAATGAAAATTTTCTCAGACAAGTACATTGCTGATGGACCACGATGTGAAAAAAACCCATTTCAGTCATTTCTTTTCACCACACACGGCTCAGCCTCCCAGTTTTGTCTACAGGCATCTTTTACACAGAGGCAGAGAAGAAATATTTTTCAGCTAAAAATACAACTGGAGAAAAAACACACTGATAAAAGAAATTATTTCGTTGAGGGGGAGTCATTAATTATCAGGCTCATCTCTGTCCTTTCCGTGCTAACAAGTTCAACAGCAAACACATTGCAGTGCTTTAAATTAAAGGTTTGCCAAGGCAGGAATACATTACTGTTCATCTCTAAATCTCTCTGAACTTCTGTTTTTAACTGACAGACACCCAGTAAGAAGCATTATTCAGATCTTCTTTTTATACACTATTATTGCTTGTTTACCCCCAAGGATCAAGGATTTTATGTATAACAGTGAAATGGGGACATCACTGCACTGCAGGATGGACTTCCAGAGCCATTTCAGCTTTTACAGAAAAAGACTTTCTGCTTTATTTCCCTTCCACTCTCAAGCAAATATGCAATAGGAAAAAAAAAAAGGATGGGTTATACAAGTGTGGAGAAGTACTTCAACATCCTTCCCCACCTTCCAGCCTGCTCCAGGAGGAAGGCTGAAACCACACTACACAGGCACCAACTCGGGAAATCTCCAAACATCACACTCATCATGGCATTTCTACCTAAGATATTTTATCCAAAGGGATGGTTTGCCTTTCATTTAACATAACAAGGGGTTCACTATAAGTGAAATTCATTTTTATTATCTGTGCCATGGATGGTTGAGGCACTTCAGCCCCAGCAAACCCTGAAAACAGGGTTTCACGCCTGAAAACCAACAGGTGCTTCTGCACGGCTCTCACTGCTGTGTCTACAAGTCCAAGAGTTCTTTTGTTTCCTAAAAGTCACTCCCCCATGGATCAGTGATGCAGGTCTCTGTCCGAAAAGTGCTGATGCTATCACTGAGTCACCATCGTGCCTTTCCACAGCTGGAACAGCTGGAGATCCCTCTGTCTTACACCAGGGAAAGCAGCCCTGAATTCTTAACATGCCCATCGTTTTTACTGAAACCTGGCAAGTGCCAGAAGAGAACAGTATAATAATTAAATACCACGCTGCTGTACATCTCCAGTTCCCTTAATCCACTCAGTATGTTTGAGTAAGCCAAAAAAGACTTTGCATGCAAATAACATGTCCCCAGTCCAGAGCACAGGTTGGACACAGCAAACTGGGGCAGCATGACAAGCACAGGCAGCCCCTGCTGCTGCAAGAGCTGTCCACTGCTGCTCAAATGTAAAATAAGAAAAATACTTCTCTTGCCACTGAATCATTTAGCAGGTGCAGCCACACCACCTTCCCTTCCTCCTTCAACAGCTGAAAACAATTTAAAGTTTCCTTTACTACTTCAAAATGGAAAATTTGCAGCTCCATATGAATTCGAAACCACTGGAAACTTCACTGGAGGCTCCAGGTGCCTGCCATGAGATGGTTATCAGCGATCTCCACTCGCTGCTCTGGCTCCGGATTAAAAATGTACCGAAGATACATCTCTAGAGCTGCCCCACGTGTCTCACACCAACATCTTTGCTCTCACCCCAAACGTTTTTCCCCGTGGTACCACTGCACCGTCATGAATTATGATATATCAATATCTCCAATTTAGGAGAATGAACGGAAGGGCATTTCCAGCGAGGAAACCAATTCTGGAGTTAATTTCCCCAAGCTCCGCTCGCTCGGTTTGGCAGAACTCGACCCTGCGGGAGCCTCGGGGCCCGTGAAGCGCCGGAACTTTTGGAGCCGGTGCGTTAGGAAGTGTTTGGCAGAGCACAGCTCCCTCAGCATCGGGCTGGAGCGACACCTCCGAGCCAGCGTCTGCAGCGCAAAAACGCTGAGAGAGCCGCCAAGGGGACGGAGCATCTTCACCCGAGCGGCCTCTCCCGCCATCCCCCGCCCTCCTCTCGCTCCCCAGGGCGCTCCCTCCGGGCACAGGTCCCGCACCGCTCCCCGCACCTGCCGCGCTGCCTCGCCCCGGCCGCCACCTCCCTGCGGACCCCCGGGGCGGGCGGTTCTGCCGGGGCCGCTCCGGGCCGCGCCCCCGGCTCTGCCCCCGCCCGTCCGCCCGGCGCGGCCCGGCCCGGCCCGGCGGGTCCCGCCGCCGCCTCCCGCTCACCTGCGGCCCCGCCGGGAGCGGCGCGGAGCGGCCTCAGCGCCGGTACCGTCCGGGCGCCATTTTGTCTCCAGCCTCGGAAGTGACGTTGGGGGGAGGCCGCGGGCAGGTCCCGGCGCGGGACCCCCCCGACACCCCTTCATCTTCTTCATCCCCTTCATCTTCTTCATCCCCTTCGTCCTCTTCATCCTCTGCATCCCCTTCGTTCTCTTCATCTTCTTCATCCTCTTCACCGTCAGCATCGCCTTCATCTCCGACACTCCCTTCAGTCTCTTCATCCTCAGCATCGCCTTCATCTCCAACACTCCCTTCATGCTCTTCATCCCCCTCATCCTCTTCATCTTCTTCATCCTCAGCATTCCTTTCATCCTCTTCATCTTCTTCATCCTCAGCATCCCCTTCACCTTCGGCATCCCCTTCATTCCCAACACCCCCTTCATCCCCAAAAGCTCCTTCCTCCTCTTCATCCTCAGCATCTCCTTCATCCCCCACGTCCCCTTCATCTTCTTCAGTCTCTTCATCTTCAGCATCCCCTTCACCCTCAGCATCCCCTTCATCCCCAACACCCCCTTCATCACCTTCACCCCCTTCCATTCCCTTCACCTGCAGTACCCCCTTCATCCCCAACACTCCCTTCATCGCTTTCATGCCCAACATCCCCATCATCTCCAACACCCCCTTCAGCCCCTTCAACACCTTCATTCCCAACACCACCTTCATTCCCTTCACCCCCTTCCATTCCCTTCACCTCCCGTGCCCCCTCCATCCCTTCCATCCCCAACACCCCCTTCAGCCCCAACATCCTCTTCATCACCTTCACCCGCTTCCATCCCCTCAACCCCCAGCACACCCTGCATCCCCTTCACCTCCCTCATCCATTACACCCCCTTCACCTCCCTCATCCTCTTCATCCCATCCACCTCCTTTATCCCTTTCACCCCCTTCATCCTCTTCACCCCCAGCATCCCCCCCTGGCCCCTGCCCAGTTCCCTCCTGCCCCAGCCATCACCATCTCCCAGACAACGAGGAGAGCAGGTTCACTTTCCCTATTGCTTTTATTTCTTTTTTTTTTTTGTCTGTTTTTTGCCTTCTCACACTAGAGCAGCTCAGCAGCTCGGTGGTTTTCTTGTGTGTGACTGAAAATGAAAAAAACCCCCAACAAAGTGGCTGAGGGCAAATTATTTGAGTCACTGAAGTGATGTGGGGACTGACCCTCACACCCCCTGAGGGGCCTGGGCTGGGACCCTTTTATGCTCCACATACATTGTCCTCTCCCATCTAAACCAAATTTTCCTCACTAATTTCTAAGCAAGTACCTGAGAGGTAAAAAAAATATCCATAATCACCTCCTGGCAGATGTCTGTATTTGTATTGCAGTCTCTCTCCCCTTAATTTCTACCTCACCTGAATACTCTATTCTTAATGCAATCAGAGATGTAATCCTCATGGGGTAGGACTATATTTGACCTGGAATTATTAAGAATTTGCCATTTTCCCAGAGGAAAACATGCTGACTTAAACCTGTGGAAAATGGAAGACATTAATACAGTGGATTTGAACACCTCTGTAGTGATGCTTAACTTTGGTAAGCAACAGCAGACTGAGAAATAACTCTGATGAACACACTGATGTTCCCACCGGAACACTCAGCATGCACTTATATTAAAAAATGTTGTTTTAGATACACCATAATCAGTTCTGAAACCTATAATTTTAGTAGTAAGAAAATCTCAAATATGTTTAAACTAATTTAACTTATTAGCTTAAATGAATTCTAATTTACTCGTATTAACATTAAGGTTTATAATTAAGCTAAAGTAATTACACCTCTAAGTTTTGATGTTGTATTTTAAAAAAAAATCAAGTCCTCCATTTTAGATGTTAGAGCCTGTGTAACAGGGAAGTTGAAAACATAGAACAAACTACATACCCTATTAGCTAAAGTATAAACCTTTCTACCTTCAAGATTATATATAAAGTTCCCCAGAAGTATCACAAATAACAGAAATTATAACTTTTCTCTACTTGTGTGTACAAGTCATCTTTTTTCCCCTGCATTTACATTGAGAATATCTACCATCTGGTGGTGTTCCAGGGGACTTGCACTTTCAATTTACACTTTCTGGTGGTCAGAGAAGCCTACAAATCTTTAGGTGATTGAAGTTCTGAACCGTTCATTTGTTGTCTTCTGAAAATATCAGTATTGCTGCTATTGTGCTCTCTAAAATGATGAATTAGCTCTTCAGGTTCCCTGGGTGTGTGTAAGCACACAGGGACATGATAGCATGATACCAGCACACAGAAGAAACAAATGCTAGCAAAAGCTCTTTTGTAAATCTTGAATGTGTGACTGAATATATATATTCAGGGTGACTTAAAAGAGAGAGAGAAAAGGAAATTCTTGTGTGTGGAAATCTTAGTGAGCCATGGCAGGAAAAAATAGTTCTAGAAAAGATTTTTCTTATCAGAGGGTCTAAAGCAGCATTGAAACTAGCTGGACTCCAGTGATACCAGTAGGGCCAGTTCTTCTCTTGTTAACTGGGACAAGGTCTCTTTTATCACAACTTTCTGTGCTGTTCTAGTTGTCCCTACAAACACAGGAGACAATGTGCTGCCTGTTATGGCTCTCACTAATAATGTCCCTGGGAAAAACTGATACAGTTGAACTGCTTGGGTTACTGGTTATTAATAGCTCTGAGTTTAAGTAATATTACCATCTTTTTCTATAAGTGTATTTTTGGTAGATGAATTGACTGAACTGCTAAGATATTTCGGGAGGTTGTGCTTGAAATGTCCTGGGGAATGAGACTCTTAAAACTCAGTTGTTAAGTATTCCTGCTCCTTCCCTGCTGGTTTAGGTGAACCTTTCCAACCTCCAGGTCCACCACAGTCCTTATTTTTATTTCTGCTTTCTACAGCCTGGCTCACTTTTGCACCAGGAGCAGGTTTCATTATAGAAATCTAATTTTTCACAGAATAAACCAACGTCCAACCTTTTACACTACTCAAATGTCTCATGGTTTGCTTGTCACTCTAGTCTGTGTTGGTTGCTCACCTGTTATATTGTACAAATATACAACCACAGGTTGCTGAACCACAAGTGCTGCTTTTCTGCTCTGGAGAGGTCCCTTTTCAGGCCACTTTATGGAACTGATCACAGGTAATACCTGGTTAGTCTTAGATATTTCCAAGTGGCTTTCCCACAATTCCCATATGCAAAAGGATCCCCAGGATATCTGATGGGGCAGGGGAGTGGTGTTATATCAGTGAAGTCAATTCACTGCCTCTTGCTCACAGCCTGTGGAACCTGACACTTGGTTTTCTCCATTTCACAGAGCATTTTACTTCTGGCCAAGGCTGAACATTGCCCTCTCCAGAACGTGGCAGCTGCTGAGGTCTGCAGTCCAGCAGGTAAGTTATGTGGACCTCACAGAATCCTGGAATGGTTTGGGTTGGAAGGGACCTTGGAGCCCATCTGATTCCACCCCTGCCATGGGCAGGGACACCTCCCACTAGCCCAGGTTGCTCCAAGCCCCATCCAACCCAGCCTTGAACACTTCCAGGGATGGGGCAGCTGTACTAAGATGGATTTAACAGTCATTTCCAGAGTACTACTCACACTAATTAGCTAAGATTCATCTGTGCCAATTACACCAACGGTGGTAAAGGGATAAAGATAAGGTCCATTTAAATTTAAATTTATCAATAACATTGGCCAGCCTCCATTTCAAACTACAGCAGGTGTTTTGGGACTGCCTCTGTAAACTGATTCAAGCACCACAGGACTCACCCCAGGACATGGATGGCCATGAGTTTCTTAGTGGAATTAATCAAGAAATATACCTAAATATACTTAAATATACTTAATATTTATATTGAGAGAAGATGTTGGCAGTACTCCATGGAAGGAAAAGCAGGTAAGAACAGTGTTCAACCCTTGTTTTGGTTATCTACCACTTGTGTCGTGACAAGCTGGCTCAGAGGATGGAAGAGCACTGAGAATGGAGACAGCATCCATTGTCTGCATTCCTGCTTCCAACTCCCAGCTGCTGGACCAATCAAAACCACTGAGGTGCTCTGTGGATGGTGTAGGCACACTAGGAGCAACCAACATGTAACTTTAGCTTTGTTGGAAGCATTTTGAAAATAAAACCAGGCTCGATGGCTAAGAGATAATACACAATAATCTGAAGCTTCTCTGTTAAGAACGTGTTCCTTTTTGCTGTAAAAATGCCATCAGTAAATCCCACCACTAGCTGGGGCTCGGGTACAGCTTACTGAGAGAGCAGTCATTGTTCATCTGCATCAGCCTGCAGTGAGGAGTCTTTAATTTTAATAGTCTGCTTGTACATTCTTTATACATTCCTTCTTGCCAAGTGTATGAAATCTCAAGTCATTCTTGTGGCCCTTGCTCAGTTTTCTCCATGAAATGCAGACATGCTTTACCTTCTCAGATCCTTCTGTTGCTACTTTCCACTCAATCAAGCATGTTTATTGTGTTAGTAAGCTAATTATTAATCCTGACAAAATGAGGTAGAACTCATCAGGGAAACTGTTTTCAAGGAGTAACTTCATAATCATGAGTTAAACATTTCTTAACTTCAGCAATTCCAGGTTTAAATGAACAGATGGCAGAGTTTGCCTCCCTGTGAGAGGTGATTAATAGTAATCTATGCTTTCATAATCTCATTAATATTTTGTCTCTTACAAAGAGACAGATCTTAGTGCCAGGAGTAGTTTGCCCAGGGTAATTCCAGGTCTGGATCACAGAGGAAACTTTATGCAGCAACTTATACCAAGTAAATTCTTTCACTACTTTTTAACAGGCAGCCTTTGCTGCATTATTTTTTTATGTACAAATTTTTTTATATTGCCTTTAAGTGTTGGCTTTTAGGTCAGAATCTCTTGTACCACTACTTTCTAAAGCTCTGTGTGAGTTGTGAAAAGTGGACTTTTCTCAATTCTCTTTCTCTAAACAGTTTGTAGGGGTCTAGGCAGGGAAACACTGACAGTGTCCCTTATTTCTCAGCAAAATGCCTCAGTGCCTGGTACAGGAGAGGACATTCCTTCAAGGAGGAAGCTGCTGTTTCCTCCACTATGCTCAGCTATTGCTGCTTATTCAACTCCTCTGGGGTTTCTTCCTCCAGCAGATAGGAAATGAGGAAGAGCTGACATTCCTCTCTCTTTTCCCATGAGCACACCTGCTGAACCTGCTAATTCCTTCCCTGTTTCCTGCATAGGATGAATCAAATGTCATGAGGCAGAATATCCACAGGACTCAAAGGAATGTGTTATTTGAGGATTAACATGCTTCATAAAAGCAGGAAATGGAGTTGCTTCCCAGCTCAAATGAGACATACAGTACTAATTTCCTAAGACAAACACCACTACATTTAAAATTGCCTTGTTAGAAAATGTTTAGTCACTCTGGAGGGAAGGAGGAAGTGTTTAAATAAGTCAATGACTTATTTAATAACTCAGTTGCCAGTCATTTTTGCTGGTCAGTATTGCTGTGAAGTTATTACCATCAGGAAAAATTAGTTAAAGGGCTTATGGAATAGAGACAAATCTATATTCTTAAAGCATCACTAGCTTCATGTTCTGCACTGGAGGAAGAAGTAAGAGGGATTCTCCAAAGAACAGAACTGATTCTTTCTACCTTTTTCCCCCTTGAAAAACAGAGGGAGCTTCTATTTTTCCCTGGATGTTGGTGGAATTGTTGCTGTGTTGCATCAGCATCACTCTTATGTGTCACTTTTACTGCCTTTTCTACTGGAAGATAAGGTTGTAACATTTGTAAGAATTTCTTCCCCAAGTTTATCTGAACACTGATGTTGGTTAACACCTGAAGTAGCCCCCCAGGTTGGCAAATCCATTGTTCAATTTTAGCTCAATCTGGAAATGTGAATGAAATGAAATTTTAGTGAAGACAACGTGTTGCAGTTCTCTATTTCTCCTTCTTCCATTTCCTTTTTTTTGTTTCCTGGATGGCACTGTTTGGTTTTGAACTCGCCAGAATCAATCATTCCTGCCAGCTGCTTTCTGGAACCAGAGCACAGCTTTGGATATGCCTGGAATGTGCAGCTCTCCTTGCCTGCTGAGACATTTGCCAGTTTAACATTTACCAGAGTCTGAAAATCTGACTTCTCCAGCCTGGAGCTGAACAAACTCCATGATTGAATGGGGATCTTTGTGTTGGGGTTCAACTGTTTGTTGCAGAGCAGGGGGACCTGTGGGTTTGGTCTGAAGCCTAAATCCACAAGGCCTGGACAAAGACACATGGCCAGTGAGATGCTCAGTTTATTTATACATAAATGCCTCCACGCTGCAGCTGTAAAAAAATGGACAAAGCACTAATTCAGCCTCCTGCTTTTGGCACCTGGTGTCAAGTTGCAGATCCCCTGTTACCTTCTGCGTCCATCAGAAGTTGTCAAACAAAACAAAATGCTGGGAATTTCAGTGGGATTCATCTTTTAGCTTAAAAAAGCTGTCTGCAAAAGGATGGGTATGGATATTCTGATACTTATCTGGTGAAGTAGGGGAGTATAAATAGGTATAACAATGTCTTCAGATGTGGTGTAGGCCAGTTATGATTTAAGTTTTAAATTGCAGTTTTAAATTTTAAATTTTAAGTTTTAAATTGGTTCAGTAACATCTACACTGCAAAACTTAGGCTGGTGGAGCAGAAATTATTTTTAGCTGGAATGGTTCTTCATCAAAAGCAACCCGAGCATATTTGTGACCTGAGGGGCTTTGTGCACTCAATAAGTTGCTTTTTTGCTGTGTGTCCTCTGTTCCTGTCTTATACTAAATAATATTAAGGATGATGTTACCATAAAAGATGCTGAACACCACTTCACTTGAACTAGTCAGAAGCTGTGACAGGACTAATGGTTTAATGTTTAAAGATTCCTGGGTTGGTGGCTTTTCCCTTACCTGTGTTATAACCCTTGGCAAGTCACTTAATCTGAGTATCAAGGCAGAACTTGTCATTCTCATGTGAATGATACTTCAGTACATTTGAGTTTGAAACCCTGACAGAGGTGTTAATGTGCAGGTTGTACTTATTTTTTAATGAAATAAGATGTGGTTAAAATATTTGCAATGGTATTCTGTAGTGCTCCTAAAATAGTGAGCTGCATGTTTTAATTGGTGTTTAACTGTAAATGAACACTTAAATTTATAGGAGTAAGTTGATCTCCATAATTCTTCCAGTGCAAACTTAATTATCATTGGTTTTATTGAATTCATTCTTCTGAACATTTTCTGTTCTTACAGTAAAAACATGCCTTAAATGAACTCATGTAAGAATTGCTGTATTGATGTCCAGAACTATCATAAATATTGATGGCTCAGCTTGCTTTCATGGTTATGACTGCTGTGTATCTTCCCCACAGACACAAATGCAAGGGGACAGCTCTGTTTATGATATTTTTTAGTGACATCTGGCACTCTCACAGGAAGCCTGGTGCCTGCTTGTCTGTTTGGGAGAGCCACATTCATGACTCAAAGCCAAGCTGCAAAAGGGAACATTATTGTTAGTAACTGTAAAGGAATGAATGTGATCAGGAGTGAGGACTTGAAGTTAAAAGCAAGTGTTGATTTATTGAGTGTTGTTCCCTGTGAATAAAAGTCAAACTTGGCCAGCTGGTCAAAGTATGGAGCTGCTGTTTCCTCGTGTGTTCTCATGCATAGGAAGTCTCCTGACCTTGGGCCTTGAATCTGCAGCTGATCATTCATTTCAGCTCACAGAAGATTTTGCCCTGGGACAATGTGCTGTCTGACTTCTCACAAAGCAGAAAAGATCCCATCTTCCACAGAAACTCTACCAAAAACCACATAGCTTGTGTTCAATCTACGTTTGAAGTCCTAAACTAGCTGGATTTTAAGGCAAGGACAGCTCAGTCCCAGAACACTGCAGGAGTTTCATATGAAACACAGAGCTCTGTGTGGATTTTTAGTCTGCATTTCCAGGACATTTGTATCATGGAATTACAGATTAATTAAATTAAGGATTCAGTAACATATAGATACAAACCAAATATGGACAAGATTGTAATGAACAAGCCATGGTTTCTTGAGGTTTGCTTGAAGCTGTCTGGAATGTTCTACACTCGAGATTTCCAGGCAGCAAGGTGTATGAATCATCAGAATATCAAATGTATCTTTGTAGCAGCAGTTGCTGTTTCTTCAAGTTTTCAGAATAATAGATGTCTTCTGATTTTTCAGAACCCTTGCTTCCTCTACCATATACTGAGTGTCCTGCACTCCAGCTGACCATCAGAAGGAAATTGCTGCCACGTTTTTGCAGGTTCAGATTTAGCCCAGCACAACATTTCATACTCAGCCTCCAGGGCTGGAAGCCCACAGCTAATGTTTCAGAGGAGCATGGGCTGTGTGGCTAGGGGTTGATTTTTACCTAAGATTAATAAAACTTCCCTTAAACTAGAGGGTGGACTATAAAGGCACAGTTAAGACCAGAAAATTTAGGTAGCTGGTATATGAAGTTAAAATGGCTTTTAGTGAGAGATTCTGGTGTGGGAGCAAAGCAAATTGTCCTCGAGCAGAATTTTAGCTGGTGTCCTGTCCATGATCCAGGAAAACTCAGAACTGCCCACAAGGGTTGTCTGCTCCAGTGCCACACATTTCTCAAATTTCTCTTGTTACTTCAGGCTTAACCAAAATTCAGAGCTGGCATAAGAATGTTTTTCTGATTTTGTGGTATTTGCAAGTTAGCAGTGACTGAGCTGCTGCAGAAGAAACCAGTGACATCTGTGCTATTCCCTACAACGGGTGAATAATTCATAATTCCATATGCCAAGCATTTGGGAAGGCATTAATGCATCTTATGGGACAGTTTCCAGTACAGACAAGAAATTGTTAAATCTAAACTAACAGAAATTACTATTCTTTTGCCACAAGAAGAAGCTTTAATCTTCCTGCTTCCATATGACTTTACATGAAGATAAAGCTTATTACTCATGGTCACAGACTGACTGCTTCCCTACATCAACTTGAAAACTAACTAAACACTCCTGAATTACTTTTTCTCATATGTTTAGCTTTGAATTATAGTTTCATTTAGCAATGTCAAATGAATTGATTGTGGGCATTGCACTGATAAGACAAGTAGCAAAATAAGTCAGGAAAATTGAAGGAAGTTTAAAATATTTTAATTTTTTTAAAGAAAACAAAGAATAATTATTGTAAAGTAGGACAATTTATATTATGGTTTTTATTTCCAAAGCTTGGATTGATATGATAGTTCATGGCACACAAAAGAAACAGAAAAGCAAATACAGAGAGGTTGACACGTTCAGCAATCATCGACCTCATGGGTTATCGTGATTTTTACACCAAACACTGATTTAGAAAATCTGATGCACTGCAGCCACTGGACATGCAAAGCCTTTGCTCTGAGCTCTGTGCATTCAGGTCCTGCTGCACTAAAAATGCCACAGGAAAGCTGTGTTACACCTCAGTGCCACATTCTGACCTGGTGTTGCACACGTTGTCAAACAAACCAACGGCACACTTAGAAAACGAGACACTCAGAAAGAAAAAGTTTGTATACACTGACTCAAAAGCTTCTACGTGTCAGCTCTAAAGCTGCTGAGTAACTGGTTAAAGTGACCCATCAAAAGTGGGTATTTTCCAAGCACCCCTTAATTCAGGATGTTTATTTCAATCCCTGCATGTCTCTGCAAGAAGAGAAGGCAGGAAATTCCTGATGCAATAGTCAGCAGAGCAAGCTTTCAGTTGGTAGGTCAGTTCCAGCCAGGCCTACCCTATTTTGCCACAGAATAACATAAGTATCATGAGCAGAAAATCTCTATCAATAGTGGAAAGATTTTAGCTTCCAATATCCTGTATTTTTTGGATATTTAATTTGTAAATAACTGGTTCTCTCTGAAGCTAATTCCTCCTTTTTGATACACCACATGGTAGATGAACATGCCACAAGCACTTAACCAGTCAAAAACACTTAAAAGATTCTGAATATGTTCTGGATATGTTTTTTTTTTTTTTAAAGAAATCCATAAAATGTAATGTGACATAATCTTTGGTTGCATTTGAAAACCAAGCATATATTACCTGTAAATCACATTTCAGGTGTACATCTGTTTGCTGCAGGGTTTTTTCTTACTGCAAAATCTTTTTTCTTCTGGTAAAATCCTGGATAGTAGAAATGCTATGGAATGTTCCATCCTCTGGAATCAGGGAGACTGGGGGTGGTCCTTAGAGCTGTGTGGGATCCCCATAGATCTGGAATGCTTTGACCGTATTTTCCATGGATCATCTTCTCACACAAATGCAGGAAATAGTCTTTAGTTCTTATAAAATAAGAAGCACTTGTATTTTCTGGCATAGAATGACATGGCTGCTTGTTTCAACTGTTTTCAGGGCCTGGAAAACAACAAGCAGACATTTACTGCTCATCCTTATCCAAATGTTAGATACCTGATCTCTTTTCCTCCCTCTCTATCTTGCCTATCACCACTTTATTTCTCTTCCCAGTTCCTGTTTTCCTTTCTCCTAATTCTGGTGCACAGGATCTGTTTAAATGTCCTGGGGTTTTCTTAGTCCTTTGCAGTTTGTAAAGAACTTCGGATTTGCATGGCACCAAAGAATAAGGCAGAGATCATTCCCAATCTTCAGCTGCTTTCCAGTACTTGTAGGACTTGGTCCTCTCATAATTCCTAGATAATTTTACCTCTGTGCAGGAGAGTGATTCCAAACCCCATGCACTTGATATTATAACAATATCTGGCAATTTTTTTCTGATTTCTGTGGGTTTAGACCCCCCACATTGTGATGCAGCTCTTGCTGATTTTGATGCAATGTGTAACATCAAAATAAATTGTTTAGTCAAAATAGGAACAGCAGACATTTCCCAGGTGATTCCTGTGACCCTACTCAGAGGATGGGGCTTGTTGGAAAAGCCTGAATAGCAATTTACTTACGAGTACCTGCCTGACATCTTCCTTACGACAGCAATCACTATTCCTGCAAGGATTCCAACTGCAACCACGATTCCAATGATTATTCCAACCAGTGCAATTGTTTCCAGGCCACCTGAAAGAAGAAGTTGGGAATGTCAGTGTGTTTCTCAGGGAGACCATTGGTAAGAGGGACTGATACAGCACTGATGCTGTTCTGCTGCATCCCACTCCTCAGGGAAATTCCCTTCTGTCTTGTGAGTTCTCAAGTAGGTTTGGGAAGTTCAGCAGCCTGAAAATGTGCCTTTGGGCTGGAGGTTTGGGAAGTTCAGCAGCCTGAAAATGTGCCCTTGGGCTGGAGGGCTCCATAAGGGTGTGGACATGGAGCCAGTGATCAGGTGAACCAGGGGAGGCAGTTCAGGGACAGATTGGGCACAGCCAGTGGCTGCTGGAAGGGGATTCCCTGGCAATTTTGTTGCCCCTTGTCTTTTGAAGCAAATCTTCTGTTTAATACCTTTTTCAGTTTTCTCTGGTTCCCCGCTCGGTTCACCTGTAAAGCCAGAAGGACAATAATTACTCACTCTGCTTTGTACAGAGTTTTTCAGTTCAATTTGTAATGCTATATGCAGGAAAACTTTTATCAACTATGTCACAATGGTTTGAGGTTGTCCTTTTGATAGGAAGGGAGCAAATTGAAAGTCTGGGAGAGTGAATACAAAAAACTCTTAAGTAATAGAAATTAAAACCTAGGGGACTGATTGATCTGATATATACTAGTGAAACTTGTGTGATCACATTAAGATCAATAAGGTGTTTGTACCTGCTATGAAATAATTATGATTAAGACAGAAATCAGATTTTAATTGTCTGAGACTGGCGTATGCTGATAAAATTTCACCTTGCTCTGAGTGTATTTGCTGAACTATTCTGTGTCTATTTATAAAGAGAACACCTTAAACTTGGTACTGGAATTTTCCAGATATTATTTAGTAGATGGCAGTAGAACTTTGATGTAGAAAAACAGAAATGAAGAGGTTTTTTTACCATCAACACTCTCTGTGTTAACTCCATAACCAGTAGAATTGTCACTGTCTCCATCCGGGACAAAAGCACTTTCTGTGGTCATCAGGTGTCCAAACTGCAAGAGATTTGTTACATTGTGTAGTCTGGTGGGCAACTACAAGAATTGGGGGGAAAAGAGGGAAAAGAAAACCTCAGTACACTCAGTCTACATGTATGAAGGTAACATTTAAATTCCCTGCTCATCCACACCTTGTGGGTGCTTTTTCAGCTGTCCCCCATCATCTTTGACTCGTGTACAGTGACCAAAACAAACCAAAAGAGCTGATTGATTTTCCCAGCTGGAGGCTTTTCTACAGGAGATGACCTCTCAGCAGGACTGCAAAAGGAGACTGCAGAATATTGCAGCCCTGCCTTTTTTCAGTGTTTTGGGTTGTTGTTTTTTTTTAGAGTGGTTTGTCAGTTTGGTTTCACTGAAGCTGAGTGAGAGACACTGAGCTGGAAGAGGCAGCGAGTGGCAGTGAACAGGCAGGTAACAGAAAGGAACCTTTACTTGGCATTTTCTACTCACCAGGGTTGGCAGGGCTTCAAACTCCGTGTCATTTCTGTCTCTGAAATCAATCGTTGCACTTTCTTCTCCTTCTAGAACTGAGCTTGCTGAATAAAATTGGAGAAAACGAGTCAGGATTTTACTTTTTAGTCACCTGTTCTGGCTACTTTGACATGAAAACTTTGTTAAACACGAGCTCTGTGCACTGTTCCGTGTCCCTGCCCCTGTGCACTTTGGTTTGTGAAATTATTTGGAATAAATATGAGTTCTGCTTTACTCTTGCCCAAAGCAGTAGGACAAAGAGCTTAAGTACCATCATTTAACCCTGGCAAAACCTTAAGACATATTGGTTATGAACATTTTGTCCAAGAAATTATTTCTTTTTTTAAGGAAAGGTTCCCTCTCCCCCCAGAGTGGACGTGATGCCTCCAGATTTCCAGCTTATACATTGGGATAAATTGCTTCAAACATCTTCCATTTTCTAAAATAATAAGAGCTTCCTCCCAGCTTTCAGCTCAGTCTCAGCTGCAACCTTTATTTTTAGAACTGTCATCAATGTTTATGGGTGTAGCTATAGTTTGAAAATATTCCTACACAAATCTGTCCCGAGGTTTTTCCAATGTTGCAAATGCTTAGCTGCCATAATTTGATTTTCTTTTAGGCAACAATGTAAGGTCTTCCTTTTTTACTCTAGACCTCTGTGTCATCTGTGCTCTTTGGTGTAGTGGGCATTTCCCTTTTGGCCCACATAATGCTGTTTATTTACAAATACAGCCAGACTTCATTCAGAGGAAAAACAAGCTGGAACAAGGTAGAACACAAAAAACATGGCCCTGTGAAGACAACTGGCACTATCAAGGACATGTTGAGAACATAAGTGTCATTTGATTAAGTTTCTTGCTGATTCATAAACCTGTGAGCATGCAGAGAAGGATGTTAATGTAGGGGGAGACCTCTTGGGGGTTTGTGATTCCAAAGCCAGGTGAGGGGGCCTGTCCTGCTGCTGCCTGGGAATGAGGGTCCTGCTGATTCCAGACACCAGGGCTGAACAATAAGCAAAGAGCTGATAATATCTCCAGGCAAAAAAAAAAGCTTTTTTTGCATCAAACTTCTGTTTATCTCAGCAATCAGACCAAAAGAAGGACAGCTATTCACAGGAGTTCTTTTAAAAGCTGAGAATTACTGTCCCACTGGAATATTTGATGGAAGAGAAATGTTCACAACCTGTTTGGTTTCGTTGAATTAACACTGTTTCTACTAATTTCACTTTTTATGTAGTCACTTAAAAATATTCCCATCTCCTCTGCATATGAAGTTAGACTATATCTGAATTGTTTGACTAGGTCCAAATACTTCTTATGGAAGAATTTACTACTTCTAAGTGCACCCTACCTGTGTTGTGTGTGATACAGAGGCAAGAAAACAGCTTTTGTTCTGTGACTGAAATGAGTAAGAATGGGCATTTTGCTTGATATCAGTAAAAACTGAAAAAAAACATAGAATCACTTTGGATCAGCTGTGCAGATATCACTTGTTAATTATTGTTCTTTAATTGTGAGTTCCATTTCACTTTTGTTCATTTGTAACTGCCCCTTTTAAAATAAAAATGTTATTTCACATTAAAAAAAAGCCAGTATTTAATTTTGAAATCAGTAAAAAAATGCACTGGCAGCTTAAAGGATGAATGAGTTGAGATTGAGAAAAAAAATCTGGTTTTGCTCAAAACTCTCATTTGAATTCTACTGGAAACCTGCAAATATTTTTCCTTTGCTCCCAAAACTGTTTTCTGAACCAAACTAGAAAATTTTTATCCATCTCCACCAATGTAAGACTGAGAGCTTTGTCCCATTGCCAAGAGACCAAACACTGAACTAAACTTAGATTTCTAATTCCATGTTTACCCAGGTAAACAGAATTTTATATTTTTGTACCTTTATAAGCCTGAAAACAGATACACTTTCTATCTCAGAGCCAAAAGGGGGTGCAGGGAGTACTTTGGGCAGTAGCAGATGAAGAAAGTATATTCATGTGATGCCAACATGAGGCCTAATATAGAGGTTAATTAAGCCAGTCAGTGTCCCAAAAATCACCAAAAATCCACAGCAAGACTAGAACAAGCCAGGGTAAATCAGAGTTCCAAGTTAAAAATGGCAAAAATAATGTTTTGGTCATTTTTTATTGAAATACCCCATGTATTGTTGAGGAAGCACAAAAGGGGCTTGACTTTTAGTTGTATATTTAGACACTTTCTAAATATCAGTGTGATTTAAGATACAGCACTACTTATAATACTTATTTTTTGCTTATAAAGTAATGACTTTAGAGTGTAATAGTGGATGTAAAATATTGGCCATGTAAATGCTAAGTTTAAGGGAAAAATAGCAGTAGAACTCACCAATGTGAATTGTGTATGGATCAGTTTACCTTGTAATCCCAGTCAGAAGTGAAAAAAACATCCTTTATTCGCTAGTTGAAAAATAAGCACAGATGGAGAAAACCAATTACCAGAGGAAAATCCCCCACCAGAAAGTGAAATATATTTTGTATGTTAACAACAAGCAGCTTATTGGGAGAAGCTGCTTATGCTGCTGGCATGGCCCTGAAAAACTGCCTGACAGTGAAGGCAGCAAAGGAAACAGTGTCACACAGCAAAGGTGGACAGAAACAGTGACTGTCACGAGGAAATATAAAATAATTAGTCTTGGTGTGGTACTTCTTGAGATTCGTGGCCGTGAGTGACGTGTAGAAAACCTATTTCAGTGCCTTTGCCCTCTCAGTGACTGGCAAAAGGAGGTGGCCCAGATTAATCTTGCCTAATTTTAGGTTCTTAATAAAGGCACCTAAATAAAGTATCTGCTTGCCCTTATCTTCCTTCACAGTCTGTGGGGAAAGATAAATACTTGGAGAAGGTAACTCAGCTCCCCTGAGATTTGGGTCATCCTTGGCAGTGCTGCCTTCCTTTAACTGGAAAGGGAAACTGGAGTGTGGCTCCTCTGAACTGCCCCAGCTCACATCGAACTGATTTCTGCCATTCTGAAGGTCTTGACCCAGTCCTATCCCACCTGTATAACACTGTTTTCAAGCTGAGGTCCTGTATTTGCTGGAGAATAATCCCTGGAGTCTTTCCAGGTTCGTTTTGGGTGGACAGTGGAGGTGGCTGGGTGGTGGTTAAACAGACACTGCTGAGTTATTGCCCAAAGAAAGGCTGGGAGGGAATCTGTTATCAGTGTAGTGCACGGGTGGGAGGGATAATTGGATACTGGACAGCTTTGTCAGGGAAAGTCATACAGAAGTTAAATATTTAAATAAAATGGAGAGAAACTATTGGACTTGAAGCTTCTTTCCCCGTTCCCAGTAGGAGCCCTGCACCACTGACATCAAAGGGAATGCAAAGGGGATGTAAAGGGGGGGGTGCTCCTGTCAGTCCTTGGTTCCATCTGATGTGGGCCAACTGTAGCAAGAGTCAGGGTTAAGCAGGGCTTCTGCATGTGTTCCTAATATTATCTTCGAGGAGGTTGTAAATAAAAACATTGCCTCACAGTGCCGGGGTTGTCTCCAAGGAGCACCAGGGCCTCCTCTGTTTGCAGCTCTGAGCTGCTGTGCCTGTGAATTAATCACTGCACCCCTTCCTGCCAAAGTTCCAGCTGGGAGCCTTTCAGTTCAAAGCCCCCAGCTGCTCTCAGGCTGCACACCAGGAGAAAATTTGCTGTCTCTAAAAGTTCAATACTGCTTTGAAACCTTCCCGTGCTTAAGCATCCCATGACCCACTTAGGGGAAGATGAGCTCACTCCTTACGTGCCCGGAGTGACAGTTCACTGGGAAAACCTCTCCGGGAGGCTCTCGAAGCTCGGCGGTTGTGTTGGAAAGGAGAGGGAGTTGGAAAACTGTTGTTCATTAGCATTTCTTTCAGGGATCTCCAAAACCAACAACGATACTTCTGCAGATGAAAAATGTTGTAGGATCTTGTTTCTCTCCTGGTGTAAACCTGAATAAACCCAAACACTGGTGGGCAAAGGCAGTTGTAAGCCTGTAGTTTAGCTTAGTCCTTGGAATAGGAAGCCCTCCAAATAGAATGAGTTTCCATCTCTGATAAGAGACCAGGAGATAAAAATGGCAAACCTTAAAGGATTCCCTCTAGCAAGAACTGAAATAATCTTTTTCTCATTGCCTTCTGGTTCTCATAAAAAAGGAAACCAGCTCCAGTTATTTGTAACAGCTAAAAAAGGAAAGTAGCAGGTTAACTGTCAAACAAAAGCTCTGATCTTAAAATTCAAGTTTATTTTTATCTGTGTCTTATCAACATTATGTTTTATCCCATCCAGCTGGGCTAAATAGGTACTTTGGAGGATGTTGCTCTAGAAAAGCAAGGGAAAGGATTTAGCAGGATGGGTCACTTGGGAGGTGTCACTCTCCTGCTGGAGATGAACTGAGCAAACATCTGGAGCTGGCTGAGGGCTTTCAGGATCTGCTTCCGGAGCTGTTACAGCCAAAGTGGTGTTGTTTGAAGGGCTGGGTATGGATTTGTGTGTTATCCATCCTGTTTTGGCTGTATCTGACTCAGCATTTATGTCCTGATACAGGAATTCCCGTTCTGAGGGAGCATTCTTCACTCAGAGACCTTAATTTGATTGTGGGCAAACTGAGTCTTAGTCTGTGTCTCATTACTGGAATTAGTTCAGTAGTAGTTCAGTGAAAACTTTTATTCCTAGTGGTGGAGGTTTAACAAAAATATGGGATTTGTAAAGAATCTGCCTTTTAAATACAGCAGCTCTGTAATTTTCAAATTGATTTTTTTTGTTGGTTTTTGGTTTTTTTTTTTGTTATTTGGCTTCATCCTCCATTTAAGTGTATTCCAGAATCCAAAATCTACATCATCAGCTGAATTTTGTCTGAAAATAGTTTTCCATTATTTTTCTATTTTTGGATATTTGGGAAAAAAAGCATACAGGTGTCTCTTTTGTTGTGAAATGCTTCAACAGCACCAGATCCAGGCTACAAAATCTTTTTGACTTTGAAAATATGAGGTTATAAGAAGAATATAAGAAGAATATAACATAGAAGAAGAATATAACATAGTGGATTCTGGCATTTGTCTTTTGATGTTTGA